TATCGTGCAAAGTAAACAAGCATTACGATGCTATGAAAGGTCCACGAAAGGTATTGCAATTAAATATTAAATATAACCGAAGAAATGATCATATACACGCAGTGAGCATTACATTTGTCATGCGATACGTTTTGTAATGATCAGTAATGACAATTTCTACTATTTTTCCTTAAGATAATTCCACAAAATCACTGATATAATGATATACTACAGCTGATTTTTTTTTCCTTGCTAGAAGTCATTTGAAGTTGATGCAGAAGTCCTCTGTTGCCAAGTTAAAAGAAAGGGAATCTTTCGAAAACCGTGATGCGAGTTCAACTGTTTTTCTCTTGGCGTGACTCATTATACACCGACTCTAGTGAAAATACACACCAAACTGACCAAAGAACAACCAAAACTACAGAAGCACGCCAGTGAAAATTCACCACCGAGAAAAACTTTAAGCCCCAACTCTCCACGCTCCGGCCCTGAATCCGAATAACTTTTAATTCTAATGAATTGTAAACTTATTCCCTAGACTATTGGCTCCGTAGAGTTGATTTCGACAGTTGAGCTTTACAAATAAATAAAATGAATAAAAAAAAGGGTTGCCAAAACAACTTTTTGTGCCTCCGCTTATCTATGGAATCTATAGTATCTACACTGAAACAAATCGACATGTACCGTTTATTGGATCCATCTTATAACATAGCAATGTCAGCTGATTTATTCATTATTTGTGATGATTGATAGATTCCATTGGATTATCACTTAAAAACTATGACTGCGATATGGAATGATTTCTATCGTAATTTCACATATTTAGTGCTTGATAAAACTTTGCTTCGAACGTAGTTAGCGATAGGTAAGACGTATTTGAATATTGTCTGATATATTTCATGGTGAAAAACTGTTGATATGTCATGGGTGAGAACAGACATCTAGAAACTAATGGAAAATCATATAAGTTTGCATTATGAGAAAATTCAGTAAAATATACCTGTTTTCATGATGAATATTGCTCACTAAAATATATATCTTATAAGATAATCATGTATATTTTATTGGAGTTGCTTTTAACGATTTTTGACGTTTGTTGATATGCCGCGTGTAAACAGACATGTAGAAACTATTGGACTAAATGACTTTGCAGCATAGGAAAACATGTATATCTCATTGGAATAGCTTCCTTTGATTTTTGAGGTTTAAAGATTGTAAACAGATCTATCCCAATCATTATATAGTAATATAGATTTGCCTTTTAAGAAATCCAGCAGCAAACATTTGTTTTGGCATAGTTTTCCGAGATGAATATCGCTCCCAATAAAAAACATCTTACATGATTGTTCTTTATGAATTATTGAAACAATTTTCAACGATGTTATCTTACACTCATTAAAATGATTAGTCGAGCCAAATATTGCTAACAACAATGATACTGTATTGAATAATCTTTGTTTGTTATTGTTCCATAAGATAAGGGGTTCCGGAAAAGAATGTATTGAGATTGAAAAAAAAAAAATGATTCTACTGCAATATTTACTTTACTAAGATTCTAATTGTAAGCCTTATTCTAATCTCACGGCTAATTCAGATTCCAGCACTAGTACTCGAACCATGAACTCATATAATGTAGTCGTTGTTTTATTGCACACAGGAGCATTAAGCAAGATTTGAATACACGACACCACCGAAACGGAGCATAAATATGTCAGTGTTATTTTTCTTCATGCTAGCATAACGTTGCACTACATGCCATGCCGGGAGACCTGTTCTTACTTCATGCTAATTGAACGAGCTCAATCTTGAAGTCAGCCGGGGCCCAGTGGAATCGAGCGCAGACACCGAAAGCATTCACACGTCAACAGTTCTGGATCGAATCCCAAATCAGCTACTATAAAAAAAAAGGCAACTGTGCCTGATATTTATATTTCGATTTATTTTTAGAAATCGATTAAATATACGTGTAAAAATACGAAGTAAATTTCATGTGATTTTCACATAAACTTTACTTCGATTGATTTATGACACATATATTATACTGTGGTGAAAAGTAAAGCTTATGCTTATGGGTTTCAAATCCATTTCAGTTAATTATTATAATTTGACCGATTTTCATTTATGATATGACGATCATATAGAAGTTACCAAATTATCAGCATTGTAAATGTATCAGATATTCATATAGAATTTACCTGACACATTTTCAATCATATCATTTTCAATGGATTATCTTATAGTGCAAATTTATAAGATTTCTACATAACAGGAATATGTCATATTGATTCAGTGTATAGGCCACACAATAGTACAGATAGTGAATCACGTTCCGTTTTGGACAAGGGAGGGAGGTGGCTGTCAAATACGAACAATCGTCGCCTACCTCGCATAACTGGTTCCAAACGTAAACAAGCCATAAGAAACCTACACGCTAACTTGAAAGTACCCATTAATGGTTGAAAAAGACCCATTTTGAAGAAAAGTGGCTTAACTCATTAAATGAGTAAATTTTTTACCCATTAATGAGTATCTGTTACCCATTAATGAGTAATTGTTAAGCATTAATGGGTAACAGATACTCATTGATGGGTAAAATTGTTTAATCATTAATGAGTTAAGCCACTTTTCTTCAAAATGGGTCTTTTTTTACTCATTAATGAGTACTTTCAAGTTAGCGTGTACAGCGTTTGTTTACGTTTGGAACCAGTTTCATACAAGAATGATCAGTAGGCTGATTTGACAGCACGTCCCCTCAAGGTTTTGGATCGTTCCATTTCACTTTACTTCATTCCATGTGCTAAATGTCAGGATTGCCACATATACAGATTGTTATGTAGGGGAAATTGATGTAATAGGTCGTATTAGAGTCGGTGTATAATGAGTCACGCCAAGAGAAAAACAGTTGAACTCGCATCACGGTTTTCGGAAGATTCCCATTCTTTTCACTTGGCAACAGAGGACTTCTACAACAACTTCAAATGACTTCTAGCGAGAGAAAAAATATTGCGGTTGTAGTAAATCATTATATCAGTGATTTTGTCAAATCATCTTAACAAAAAATAGTAGAAATTCTCATTACTAATCATAACCGAGCGTATCCCATGACACTTTAGCGCTCACTGCGTGTATATGCTCATTTCTTCGATTATATTTTATATTTTATTGCAATACCTTTCGTGGACCTTTCATAGCATCGTAATGTTTATTTACTTTGCACGATAGGTAGCCGGTTTGACAGTTCAATAGGTAGACTTGGCTTCACTCTTGGCGTGACTCATTATACACCGACTCTAGGTCGTATGAATAAAAGTGTTTACTTTACTTTCCCCGTAAGAAAAGCACGGGAAAGTAAAGTAAACTCTTTTTATTCATACGGCCCAATGTCGGCCTAAATGGCCCTAATTTGGGTCCATACATAAATTCAGCAATCGACTAAATTTTCAATAGCGACCAAAATATCCATTAGTACCGTCCCAATGACGCGTTCATCTAATTAATGATAATCCGGTTATTAGGATCGATGGTATATTTTATATAAATTTGAAATATATACTCTGCTCAACGATTGATAAAGATTTTAAATACAGATTTTTACACATCAAGATACACGAAACGAAAATCAATTATTTAATGCATGTGTTTCACTTATACATTTTTGCCAAAGCATCAGCCTTATACATTCCATAAGACAAACCACATAGGTTCTATTAGAATGCATAAAAGGTATGTGTGACCACTTATACATTTCATTTGACACATGATCTTCATTAACTTTTTACAAGGCGTCTGCTTATTAGTTGACTTATACAATTTATGAATAATCAGTAATGGAAATTTGCCAAAAGGTATAAGGAGTTTCTATCCGTGTACATGCCCTATTAAAATTTGAATGGTTATTTCAGGGTATCATCCAAGCCATTTGTGGAATAGTTCAAAAATTTAGGTTATCGTTCGGGTATGGTATTTTTTATTAGGGTATTTATAGATTTTTTTTCAGAAAAAATAGAGTGCAGATTAGCGGGGTTCATACTAAAAAGTGTTCATATTAAAAACGGTCAGATTACCGGGGGTCCACGGTATTCTATTGATTTTCGGAATGGATCAATGAAAATGCTGCGGTTTTGACAGAACTATGCTGTGGCTACCACAGTATTTTACATTTGATCGTCCATATATAGTAGCGCCAAAAGCATGCTACTGGGTTCAAAACTTGACCATCTTAATTGATCAAATCAGTGCCAACATTTCAAAGGGGCGTAATTGCTTTTGTAAACAATGACTTTAGCCGTCAATTTCTCGCGAATGAAATCTTACCTCTCCAAAATGACAATGCTAACTGGTAGAGGAAACATTTCAGTGCCAACATTTCAAAGGGGCGTAATTGCTTTTGTAAACAATGACTTTAGCCGTCAATTTCTCGCGAATGAAATTTTACCTCTTTAAAATTACAATGCAAGCTGGTAGAGGAAACATTCATCTACCTGCTGGTGTCATTATTTTTCATGAGTGAGCTTTTATTCGCGAGAAATCGACGGCTAAAACCATTGTTTACAAATGCAATTACGCCCCTTTGAAATGTTGGCACTGATTTCTCTACCTGCTGGTGTCATTATTTTTCATGAGTGAGCTTTTATTCATGAGGATTCGACGGCTAAAGCCATTGTTTACAAATGCAATTACGCCCCTTTGAAATGTTGGCACTGAAATGATAATCCATCGATCGAATGGAAATCCGACAACACTTAGGGTTGATGCATATATTATGTCACGCTCTAAGGGGGAGTGGTCTATGATTTTGTGACAAGCAATGCATTAGGTATAGGAAAAACGTCACGATAGGGGGGGGGGGTAAATTTCTCCTCGATTTAGCGTGACATAATTAATGCATGGGCCCTTATGGTAAGACTAAATAACGATACCCCAGTATATCGTAGACTTCAGCTGATCTGAGTCAGTCACAGTGGATCACGAAAACAATAGACACAATCGTATTTATTGTTTGAACTGTAGCATTGTTAGAACTTCAGCTGCCCTGGGCGAAATTTTAATTTTTTCAAAGGTTTTTTTTTAACAAACGACTTAGTTTATATATATATTTAGAATTATATTTGTTTCATGCTATTATATCAGTGTTTCCTAATTTTTTTTATGTGTAAATGTGATTGTGGACTACAGCAAGAATGTTGCAAAATATTGATCTGGAAAGCTTGGAGTTCGAAGCTCACCTGGGCACTGGATGCTATGGAGGGTGAGTTTTATATCACAGAAACCAACGTTTTCGAGCCATAATTGATATTCTGATAGGGTAAATGATGCTCCTTTGATCTTCATAACATAATCGTGATTCAGTGTGATATCAAACTCGTAGTCTAAAACGCAGGATTGAACCAATTTGATTTATCATTGGATTTAGGGATTTTGGCTGAATATCCATTTCTTACAGATCGTTGGCAGTTAGAGTGAGAGAGAAAGAAAAATCTTCCATCGAAATCCCATGATCCTTGAAAAAACACGCACCAATGAAAGTAGTTCAGTAAACATTGTTCCTTTTGAAATATGCACTGTGCGCCTTCATACCAATGACTTTTTTTTAGCTGTGACTCTATTCTACATGGTTCGGTATATGTATATTTCTTAGAAAAATATGAAGCATGGATTTGAAGACCCCAAGCCTCTTGTGATATTCACATTGACGCCTTAAATATCCACCTATCTTAGTAAAAGTTCGTTTTTTTTGTTTCGTTCACAGCCACGTAGGCCTGTTCCGGAGCAAAAAGGACAAACGCAATCGCCGACTTGTGCTGAAATCCATCCCATACAACAGTCCGAACTATGCCTACAAGGCGGTACTCAAGGAGCACACCATCCTGTCGCAGATCAACCATCCTCGCATCCTGCGCTATTTTGGCTTCTTCCAAACGGCGGACTCGTGGAATATGGTAACGGAATTTGCCCAACGGGGCAACCTGGCCAAATTTCTGCAACGACGTCGGGAGTGCAACGAGCCCCTATGTCAACGGTCGGTGATGGCAAAGTTCGTAGACATGGCTGAGGCCCTGCAGTACCTGCACCATCGTAAAGTCATACATCGTGATTTGAAACCGGAGAACGTGCTGATCGACGCGGACAATCGCCTGAAGTTGGCTGATTTTGGGATTGCCAAGATTTTCACCGACCTAAAACCGGATGATGAGTTGAATATGACGATCGTGGGTACGCCCCTATACATGGCACCGGAAGTGGCCAGTGGCAAGCCGTACGATTACAAGAGTGACGTGTGGCCTTTGGGGATCATCTTCTACGAGTTGTGCATGCTGGAGCATCCATTTGAGGGGCGCTGCTTGATTGTGGGCGGCGATGGCAAGGAACGATTCGTGACACCCCTGGTGGATTGCGCCGGAAGGGGATATCAGGACGAGATTCAGACGCTGTGCGTTATGATGTTTCAAGCAAATCCGAAGAAACGCTGGACGTTGGAGAAGATCCTGAAACATGACGCTGTGATTCGTTTGATCAAGAGGGATATGTGATAGAGGAAAAAGCTTGAAGTCTTTTTTTTTTGGTTTTATATAATTTATTTCTGAATGTATCACATTTCTTAGCATATAATCTAAAGAATGTAGGATGTGGCCTGTCTTTGAAAAGAATAGATCTAAAATAATAATAAAAAAATTGTTTAAAGAATCAAGCCTCCAACGATGACGTCAAAAGCTTTAGTATTTTCTCCTTTTGCAAGAACAGTACAGCTTTATAGAAGTTAAAATTGAAAATTTAACCATGATAACAGGTAAATTTTTCAAATTTTAGAACATCAATAGAGTAAATAAATTTCATAGAAATATTCTTACAACGTCTAAATAATCAACCATATGTTTACAAAGTATAATAAAAGCACGCAGGAAACGGGTCGCGTTTTGTTCTAGAGAAAATTTGTACAATTGAATATACTTGTAGGGAACACTTGGTTTACGGTACTTGCATTCGATTCTTAACTAGGCAAAATTATATGACTTTTCACTCTCAATCATCTTCGCACATTCGGCTCCATTCGCACCTTTGACGAAGACAACAACCGCGCATCGTTACACCCATTCAGTTCAGAGGAGATATAGGAAATAAACGCACTAAAAATCACATATGAAGCTTTCTTCCTCCTACAACACGAAAATCCATGGTTATGCCTTGTTCGGACTACAGAGTTATAGTATGTTATAATAATTATCGACAAGAAAAATGTCAGCAAGATAGCCTTACAACATGTTATAACTCCTTAGTCTGCACATAGCATTAGACAACATTTAACAGATCGTTGGAAATCTTCTTGGCATTTTACAAACCTAGCTGACAGAAGTCTCTTTAACCGGGACTCGTGGTTTTCCGTGGTAAGTGTTGGATTAATACATCTAATAATTATGGTTAGTCGAACGCTAGAAACAAATCAACAAATATAATCTCTCTCTTGGGGGGTTGGGGTTGGGCTTCTCTAGCTAAGCTTCAAATTTTCTCGAGAGTATTTCAATGCACTTTCTAAGCTCTACGATAGCTCTGTAATGTAGGAATGTTCATCGTTTGCAGTTGTCGTAAAACGAGTAGGTTCCGCGGCTGGCAATGTCGGCGAATTCGCGCTTCGGGGCACACAGCTTGTTCGAGTATTCCGTGTTGCGCTTCCTGGTGGTGAGAATTGTAATTAAGAGTTGCATTAGTTTCAGGAGTTTATAAGGATAATCTAGCTTCAGTGCAATAAATGGGTCTACATCATGATGAGTCGACAACCTGGAAGATGCGTGATATCTTGCTCCGGTCATCACAAGTTTCTAACTCACGTCTCCTCGATTCATATAATTACCAAAGAGTACCAGCTGAAACATGGACACAGCTTGTCAATCCAGCAATAGCAAAGTCAGGAGGAACGATGTGAGCACTGACGTGGTAGCCACAGCACGGTGACAGAGGAAATGCTTCGCCAACCCGAGCGTCTGTTCATCATGGATGTGCGGCTCAAACAACGTCAGACATCCAGCGGATGAACAATAGGGTGGGTCGTCTTTACAACCACCTCCTCCCCAATGCACATTGGGCCAGGAATTAAATCTATCAGGAAAAAAAATAACCCTCTGGGATTGCGTCCAATTGAATTGACGTCTTGAGTGAAGTTTCTTGGATTAAGTAGGACTACAATTTGGTGGATAAAAATATTTCAAGTTTTGACCGCAAAGATGGCGCAGCGATGCAAGGATCAAAGTATGCTTTGGCCGCGAGTGGACGTGTTTATTTTTCGCTGTCATTTATTTCGCTCGTTTCGTGCCCCGGAAGGGCAGAAGGCCGGAAATGGATCGGAAACGCCACGCCGTGCCGCCGCCGGTCAGAACTAGCGCAACCGTCTGTTCGGCGAAGTGGACCGCCCGTACACACCGGCCACGAACCACATGAAGAGCAATCTGCCCATTGGAAGTGACGCCACCGGTTCGGGAAAACCCAACGGCCACAGCAATGGCTCCAGCAAGACATCATCGTCGAATGGACATCATCAGAATGGAAACGGAGTCGCTCATACCAACGGCCATAGTACATAGCAATGGGAGCAACGGTAACACTGCCAATGGACACAGCAACGTTACTCCCACATCATCAGCGGGATACGATTCAAGATTGGTTTCTGTGATGATAAGTATCACAAAAAGGTAAAATAAGTAGCGCGATCTTCATCGAAATGTAAGTATTATTGACAATAATCATAACAATCAACTCGTATATACATTGAAATACATATATAACAGGGAAGGGATGGTCCAACAGGGCACCCGATTAAAGCGATTTGGACGGGGAGAGTGGGGATGCCAACTCACTGTTGATAACAGTTCGTGAATAAAGGGCGGGCTCTTCTCCCACTCATTGCGGCATCTTCCTGTTTGGGGGCTTGTCTTTTTGACCAATTGGCTGATCAAGTTGCCGGAAGGAGATTCTTTATTGTTCTGTATTTAGATGCGTCTAGGCGACTTTGCCTATCGATCTACCCTATCCGTTTTTGGCCCTTCATACAGCGACATGTTCAGAACAATCAGAGATTGTGAGGCTTGATCAAGACAAACAGAGAAGAGAGCCCACTGCTGTCGGACTTAGTTTTCGTGCCTATCAAAGATGCCGCAGCGATATAAACTTTTTTTATTTTACAAGATAGAGGTTTGCTGTGCTGCGCAAAGTTGTAGCAACAATCAATACGAAACTATCGATTTGAAATTGGCTCACTACTTGAGTAGCCTATTGGTCCCAAGCAAACGATTAACGTATCGCATTCTAGTCGGAATTCTAGTACTACACTATGTTTGTTTTTAATATCTATGAAAGTTTGACAGATACAATGAGGGGTTCGTGGATTTTCCCATGTTTTGAGGGGTGCATCGATTAGCTTGGGACCGAAGATAGTATCAGAGCTGAGCCAAAAAGTTGAGCACGTTTCTTCGGGACCTACTAGTCTTACAGTTACCTCTATGGTTGTAGCATAGAAGGTCCCGATGAAACGAGCTCAACTTTTTGGCTCAGCTCTGGTATTATCTTCGGTTCCAAGCTAATCGATGCACCCCTCGAAATATAGGAAAATCCACTAACCCCTCACTTTATCTGTCAAACTTTCATAGCCAATCAAAACAAACATAGTGTAGTACTAGAATTCCGACTACAATGGGATACGTTAAACGTTTGCTTGGGACCAATAGGCTAGTCAATTAGTGAGCCAATTTCAAATCGATAGTTTCATATTGATAGCTTCTATGTCCTCATCCGTGTATATTGCAACAAATCAAGCAAGCAATATATCATTATTCTTCTATTTCTCCGATCGAACTATGTTACAGATCGAGTTTGGCATGGCAGTAGTAGCAACCGTTTTGTCTGTATCGTTGATTGCTTTATGTGTTTGGATTCGCTGTTCGTAAATTTCATATCAAACGTATACAATATCAGTTGACTGAATCGAGAAAAGACAACAAAAAATTCCCATTAACACACGTGTATCATCTTCGGCTTTACTTCGTGAAGCAGCTTGCCAACAATTTGCTCGTTTCCTTCTACCGCCCCGAGTGAGCTGTGTCGTACGGGCTGCTTGTAATGATAAAAAAGGAAGAAGATTAAATCATTATTGCTTTCCACTTCTGACATAGCGTTATCATTCGGAGTCGTTGATCGCTTTTCATTTTGTCATTTGGAGATATTTTTGATTCCTCGATTTTGAACAACCGTTCAAAAGAATACTTTTATCATTTTTCCTCGAATGGAACTGATGAATTCAAACTTTTCCAGATGAATGTTATTATTTTTAGAGTACTGACAAATATATACTACATGAAAGTTTACAAAAATACATGATTTTTTTAATGAATTTTCTCAAAAATGCGCAAGTGAACGCAAAATGTACACCAAATATATTTTAGTTCCTCAAAATATCTCAGAGGTATATGGAGATATATTTGAGGTATTAAGATTTGACTCAAACTACTTATTTTATTGTATTTTTCACTACTCTAAAATAATAACATTGAAAAGATTAAAATTAAATTCTACGTTCTACAACTTTGCCAAATACTGCAAACCTCTATCTTGTGAAAAAAGTCTATATCGCTGTGCCATCTTTTTTTCTGGCTAGATTTAATTCCTGGCCCACTGTGCTCTTTCGAAGTATATTGGGGTACCCAAATATTGTGTCAAATTTGAACGAATTTGGTTATGATCTGGATTTGCGGGAGTAGTCTTCTGCATAGTATTCCCAATATAAGTCAATTGTTTGGTCAAGACGATTAGACGGAAACTCGCACTTTTGTCACCGACAAACCGACATGAATGACCATAGCAAAAACAATAAAATTTCTGACCAAAGCACACTACTGACATCTGGCTCCGTGTTCGCGAGAATTATTTAGCTAAGCCATGAACCCGCATGCAAAAGTTATGAATTGGTTCGTGTCTGATCTATTCTGGACAAATTATTTCTATCAAGATCAAAAAATCCTATGGTTTTGACCACAAACGAAGTGACAGACGGAGCGGCTCGAAAACTTTGGTGACTAACCTGCTATTGCAATTTTTCAGTGTACCACATGGCAACACCACTACTACTGGATTGTACCTCATGGCAACACTACTACTAGATTGAACTAGCATTTTAACCGAATGTACTAGAATGTTTTGGTTCTATCTCTTTCACTCTACTCAAAACTGAAATGCATAAAAAAATGACAAAATGATACGCACTCTTTGCACACTGTCAAAGAATCATTGTACACAAAATCAACTTTGTTCAAATCAAAACAAAAAAACTAACCCATCTGGTGGAGGATGGCACAAGCTTCCAAGAAAATTCTATTACAGTGAACCACATTATTTTAATGGATTTCTTCGCCAGTAAGTCGTCTGTCACTTTGTTTGTGGTTTTGACAGTTCGGATCACTGCACATTTAAATCGACCGTTTACGATTTTCGGGCATAATTCAGAATTAAGTGTCATGTCGGTTTTTCGGTGCTTTTATCACACTTTTCAATAAGTGAAAACGCGCTTATTTGTCCAGTTTTGTGTGGAATGCGCATTCGTTCAAATTTGGCACAGTTGCTGTAGACTTCAATACGCTTCGACAGAGCAGTGGGAGCAGGGTGTCCGGGATCCGCCATATAAACTTGACCCAGTTATGAACAAGTTATGCTTATCCCCGCAAGCTACACCTACAACGGCGCCGGTGGTGTAGTGGTAAGCGTGATTACCTCTCACCCCAGCAGGCCTGGGTTCAATACCAGTCGGCGCCGCCGGGATGTTCTGAGGCATAACATCTCTGATCACGCCTTCCTTCGGATGGGAAGTAAAGCCGTTGGTCCCCGGTTCATGAGTTGATGGGTCGATAGGTAGGGTCCAGGTGTGGGAGCTGCCTTCCTGGCACGTCGGTAGCATTGGTGCTCAGCACGGAAAACAAGATCGACGAAAAAACAAACCAAAGGAAAAAAAAAAATCTACACCTAAGATGACGGATGGAAGACCATCTAGTGTCTTCGATGTTTACTAATAGTTACAGAAACCAACAGAGTGAAATGTATTGATTCTTCTAAAATGATTAGAGATACAGAAACTAAACAGTAAATATTTAGACACAACATTGTCTACAAAATGTCAAATCCGGTCGACAAAATGGTCTGAGAGGCTGTTGATTGGCCTTGAATCCCATAGCGTTGCCAGAACGCTAAAATAGGCCTGGATATGTGGCATTTTCAGGGAAAACAGCGAGTTAATCGAGACCACGTGAACTTTTTTTTTGCATGGAGTGAAACTTGAAAAGTTCAACGATTATAGCAACGAAGTTCGGAAGTTGCGTATTGATTTGCCTCCGATGTACCGCTTGAGTAACTAAAGGCTCAGTGGAGCAATCCCGGACAAGCAGCTGTCATCCATACCATTTGTGGAATAGTTCAATAATTTGGGTTATCGTTCGGGTATGGTATTTTTTTTATTAAAGTAGTGACTCCATAGAACTTGTTTATAATTCAATGGGCCTACTTTAAAAACCCATCCCCATGAAATTCTCGTAAGATGTTTTGAATCATTGTAACTTCAAATTATACTCATAAGAAATTAGTAATATTTCCTGTGAGATCTCCTCAGCATTTCCTTAGTAATCACCCTTGGAATGCAGCCGAAAAAAAAAAACTCTCTTCAGAACGCCTTTGACAACCGTCAGATTTGAACACTTAATTACAATAAAGTAAATAACGGAAAAGTGATAAAAAAATACTCACTCCCTGGATGGCATCTGCATGGTTTCGACCTGGATCGATTTCACGTACAGGTGATTGTTGCACCAGAACAGGCACAACGTCGTCGGTTCCAGGACGTTCATGTCGTGCGCCCAGGAGAGTTCCACCTTTCGGATCCTATCGCCGAGATCGTGTGGATTGGTGACCACCACCTGGTAGACGGTTCCGTGCTCGAACCGCGCCGTCCCCTTCGGCGTAAGATCCAAACTGCGAATCGCTCCGCGCTCGGAGAAAATTCCCGCCGTCAGATGACCCTGGACCCACTGTTCGGCTGACTTGGGCTTGGCTAGCTCGATCGTGAATCGGTAGTGACGTTCTGAAAATGGAACCGTGGAAAAGTGATCAAACCAATAAAGATAACAAGGACACGCTGGAACTTACGACAGAAGGGAAAATCTCGTCCCGTTGCCATGAAGTATTTGCCAGGTTGAGGGGCCACCGGGATCGAAGAGCCGACAGCAATGTCGTTTTCCGAAATGTTCTGCCTGGTGGTTGTGATCGGAAGCGACGCATGGTAACCCATTAAGGCGCAGTTTCCGGAAGTACATTTGAAACAGTTCCCACTCAAGAAGTGCTGGTAGGATGGGCAGCGATGGGCTGGGAATATGTTTGAAACGTGTTAGTTGTAAAATAGCATATAGTACAGCAAACAGACCATAAACTCACCTACATACGGACATTTTCCGTTAATACTATCGATAAATAACTTAATGGCTCTAATGTGGTTACAAGCTAGCAGAACGCGAGACGCTTCTTCAATACCATCTTTGATCAGCGTAAGTGGAATGGTGGCGGCTCCTTCCTGTGAAAGAGCACATCCCGGCTGTTCTTTGCCATTGTTCGGATAGAAATCCAAATGTCCACATGCGTGGGACATACCGTAGCCCGGTATCTCCAGCCGGAACACACTTCGTCCATCCGTATGAATCACGTCCACCAGAGCCGCATCCGACGGATCCAGTCTCACAATTGGGTCCATCCCCTGGAAGTACGGTTCGGCCGGATCTAACCCTGTAATTCTACCCAGTCCCGGAATTCGTTCCGCTGCATATCCGGCCGTATGAGCTCCCAACGAATGACCTATGAGGTGTACATCCTCAGACCTGAGCCCTTTGTATTCCGCCAATTTCTTGATCAGATATGCTATCTCTAACCCTACCAGTCTCGTGTTGGCCGTAGCCTGAGTGTAGAGAGGAAGCGACCCACCGGCCCAGTCTACCACGATCACATTGAGCCCCCCACGGGTGATCAGTTCGTCCCGCATCTCCGACACCCAGTTAGACAGTGGGGTATCGATGAACCCATGGATGATAAATTTGGTCGCCCAATCGGATCGGAAGTGGCTCTTCATGATGGTGTCCTTCGTTTCGGCCTGTAGCAGTTGGCCATCGGTTGGGTTCTTCTCCGTGTACAGAATGAACCGAGTGTTGATCACACTCCGAGGCAGGGGGAACACGTTGAACGGCCGGAAGATCAGGTGATACCACTCTTTGGTGATGTTCAGACAGCCCAGCTCACCGTAGCAACGGGTCATGTTTTCATCTGCATGGGAAAAGGGGGAATAGGGTGGCATTATTTCTGGTATGATATCGATTGCTACTGTCACCCATTTGGAAAGTACGAGTAAATCGTCTTGGATAGATGCTGTAAAGTTGTTGAAAGTAGTCGAAGAGGTACTCATGAGTTGGTCACGTCGTATATAGCTGGGGTTCGTTATATTTGCTGTAAGTTGTCGTTAATGGATCAGTATGTGTACAACGGTGATAAAAGGTGATCTTGATTTTTGAATTTGTTACCTATAAACCAATTTGTACATTGTATTCGAAAGTTATTAGCGGTTCTTTTTTTCGCTAAATGCAATCTATCAAGTTGTATGCTTTATATTGGCGCTCTGAAGATCTGTTTTGTTTATGCTCCTGCGTCTGCATTGGCATAGCTGTTTACCATAAAATTGAGTCTACATTGATTGATGAACGTTTTAGCAGCATAATATTATACCTTATGACGTTGTTTTCCCCTTATTTTTTTACTACTACTGTATCACTTTCACTATCACTTTTAAAAATCAATAACACATAAGTATTTCGTTTACTACTTGCAAACTACGAAATACGTATCTGCTATAGCTTTTTAAACGTTATAGTGAAAGTGAATAGTGAAGGTGAATAGGGAAAGTGATACAATAGTAGTAGAATTAAAAGGAGAAACAACGTAATAAGGTATACAACTGAGATTATTTCACAGCAATCGAGGGGTAAAGTAACACTAAGTGTTACTGTTATGGCGTGTTTGAACCAGTCATGATATCAACTGAAAAAGTAACTCTAATCAGTCCAACTACCGGTGGCAAGTGCTATGCTCGTATACAGGCATTGTTATAATCAATCTTGTTATTTGCTCCCACATTGCGCGCTAACTTTACAGCTTATCACATTGAGGAGAACGACTGCACAGGTTTATGAAAACACATTCACATTGAGGTAAACGTAACACGAAATGGAGAAAAACATAGATAAAACGTGACGAATGAAGTAGAAAAGTAGCAACCAGGCATGGAAAATCATTTAGTTCATTCATTTACATTCATTTGCCTCTAACTATTTTCATCATTATAATTCTGTAAAACTATGTATGAAAGTTTTGTAGGTTTTAATATTAGCTACAACTTTTGGTAATAGTACAAATCTGTATCTTTTATGCAACGACGCTTGCAGGAACACAGCGCTAAAAACCAAATAAGAAGCATGCATTCCTTGAACATCGCATCAACGGATTCAATCAAGCCAAAAAGTATCTCAAAGAGGAACAAAATGTGGTTTCCTCAGTTTTTTGCACATTGAAGAGGTCATCCGAACAGCCGTCCACGATTTTAAAGAGGCAAGTCGAAGCAAAGCGGAGGAGAGCGCATGGTATTGAAAACTGAGTTAAGTTGGAATTTTACTTTTCTCTTTTTCTGCTCTGAGGTGGATTCATCCCTGGGTATAACCTTTATTTATGTCACTGATGTGGGGATTCATTAGCATCCAATAAAACCTAAATAACTATAAACCGAAGTGTTTTGCTTAGAAATCAGCAAGCTCATTCCGAGATGAACCAGACAGTTGACTAAAAATCTCCATAATTAAGCTTATTAAAAAAAAACTAGCTCATCTAAGAGAAAAGTGAGTTGGTTAAAAAATGTGCACTTGGGGTGAATCAAAGTAACGATTCTCCACCAAGCTCAATCGATTTCAAATCAAATCGTAATAATTCTGCACTGGTGCTTTGAAGATTATATGGGAATTACTAAGGGAAAAATGAACTTCTGGTTCTCAACGTTCTAATCGAAATTGATTTCGAAGCCGATATCATCTTAAATCATGCACTTATGACATAGTAGTCAGGATTTATTGCCCTTTTCATCGTGCCAAGTACACTAATCCCAACACACAACAGCTGAATAAGCAATTGTCTAGCTGAAGAAGCTCGTTTTTGCCTGAATAGGCTCATATTCAACATTCAATGTTTGTTGGGATGTTGCCTGTCCGATATTTTCATCAATAATCATGATAGGGTTAATGTCCCTAATGTCAGCCTAACTGTCCCTAATACCATACATTTCGAAGGAAATAATTGTTTGACAATGTTTCACCAGCTTGTTCAGATGACGCATTGTTCTACGAAAAATTTATGCACAGCAGATTTTTATCGATGGGACCAATATTTAGATCCATAGACCAATATTTGAGCAATTTCCTCTATGTTATTTTTTTATCTTAGGACACAAAAATGAAAAACTTTTGCTAAAGATAAACCGCCAGAGTGGACCTTGAATGCAATGTAGCGGGACAAAATTGATAGCTCCGAAACGAAGTATTTGCTTGACTCGGTGTCTTAAGCGAAGTTTCGTTTCTCATAATAATTAACATAAGCAGATAGTTCGATACTCAACCGTACAGATGGCACCAAAATCTAGCCTTTTACTCTGAACTTTTTCGATAAAGTTGTTCATCATAGATATCAAAAATCCACAGCCTACTGTTTCCGAGTTATTTGGTAAACAAAAAAACTTTCCACAATTCACCGACCTAGCGGCGCCGGTGCATGTTTTGGAAAAAACTGTTTCCTATATATTTGGAAATTTTCATCAACAATCATGTAAGTTTATATTGTTTCCGCCAACTCTCCAAAACTAGATATTTCATATAACTCAATGGATTCACGCACCTTCGAAGTCTTAGCACTGCAGGAACTTTGGGTGTACATAATGCCCCTAGTTCTGGATTGGAAAACAGTGCTTTCAACTAATATTTTCCAATTAACATACAATTCGAGACTCGTCTGCATCTGCAGAGGAGGGAAAATAAACAACTGTGTCCCAGGCATCCAGAATGCCAGTAAAAAAGTTATATCTATGCGGTTGAGTATCAAAGTATCTGTCAATATCAATAGATGGTCTTAATTATTGTGAGAAACACACAGCAAAAAAATAATTTTGATATCACATCAAAGTGGATGCACTACAATCATGTCGAAAATTTCATGTAATTTTTATGACCACATAAATAAACAAATGCAGTAAAAGCAGCGTAATGTCAGTTCATGCATTGTATTAATGATAATTTTGTCCTTTTTAGCAAGTAATATTACACCATATTTTCGACATGATTGTAGTGCATCCACTTTGATGTGATATCAAAATTATTTTTTTGCTGTGCATTGCTCAAGTCACCAAGTCACGGAAATGCTTCGTTTCGGAGCTATTAGCCTCGCTATTAGCTTTGTCCCACCAGTTTGCATTCCTGGCCCATAGTGTGCATTGATCGCAATATTATTGACAGAAAAGAATAATGCTCATTAAATTAAAAAAAAGTCTTCTAATTGAAAATGCAATTCAATAATCACATGACCCTCTGATGAATGCGAAAGCCACGAAATCTTATAGGCAGTAGACACCCAACTAACAATTTTCACAATGTAAACGCTTTACTCATTTCATTTATACAAGCTGTATTCAAACGTTATACGATATGAGGAAACCTTTAACTCAACCTCTAGCAAGCAAATCTGGCGAACTTAGTCAGCTACTTATGGCTGTTGGAACGGTCGGGAGAAGCTCTTATTGCATATCCATTAACGCTTATATACAGCTGTTATCCTGCTGTTTAGTTGTGTGTGAACTTGAAAAGCGCTTATTCAACCTTTTCGCGGTTGTCCAATAATCACTACACAGCTTTCTCTTGAAGCCGGGTTAAATACTGTTTACGCTTTTTTATGAAGGAATTTATTTTTCACATTACTCGAAATTAGTAACAAATCATCACCAAATTATTTACCCTGCACCCGAACCTGGAATCGAACTCGAGATGTCCGCATTGGCAAACCTTGACACTACCAACTGCGCTACGCCAACACTTTGAACTGACGTAAACAAATCAACATGCCCTTCTACAACAAAATCGCTGAGTAGAGGCTTTATAATGGTGCACATGAATCACTTTTCTCGACAGGTCACTTCAGCTTTGTAAAAGAGCAGAGTAAAAACTGTACAACTGCACACGTCCAAAAATAAACCTAGTTGACTGTGAAAATGCTTCCGAAGTTGCTCTAACACAGTTTATTAGCTGAGTACAGGATGTTTAGTTGTTGTAAAAGCCATTTTGATGTTTATGTTATTCAGCAAGAGTGGTTGGTTGTGTAGAAGCCATCCAATGAGTAATATATTCACTTATTAGCTTTGTTTTGCAGTAACAAGTTGAAAGTTGATTAGTATGTGTATAAAAGAGACATTAGCGTTTTTTGGCTGTTGTTATTCAATGCGACTGACAAATTGAATAATGGTTGTGAAAAAGTTGAGTAAACGCTCTCCAATACTATTTCGCTAGCTTTTACTTGTAGCTGTATCTGCAGCTTCTTTTCAGCTACTTTACAGCACAACGTTGGAAAAGTTGGCTTACAAAACTGAAAATGTTAGTTGGGCAATATATCAGAATTAAAGGAAATAGAAACGCTATTCGCAAACGCTATTCCTACTTGGTTAGGTGCTTTTAGTTTTTCGATGCCGAAGCTCTTTACACGCTAAGATGAGATAAGCCATATGTGGATTAACTTTACCCATACTGATCGAAAGGCGGACAAACCCAAATATGGGTAAATTTTTAAACTAAAAATCGATAAATTTCTGACAAATTAGCATAAAACTAACTCATATATGTATCATATTTACCCATATTTGGGTTTTCTCGCTTTACGCCCAATCTGGGTAAATTTAATCTACACACATAGAAAAACTCATGTAAGTTTAGGTGCTCTGAGAGTGACATATACGAGCGTCAATTTAGACATAAATTTGAGTCATAACAGACGCGAAATATAGCTTATTCTAGGTACGTTAGATCGTCGAGCAACAAACTTTTCAGTCTCGGAGCACTTAATATTACATAACATGTTTGTTTACGTCTCATCTTTTGTGTCAAAGATGGATTCCGTCACGTGTAAAATTAATTATTTCTAAGTGTGTATATATGGCTTATCTGATCTTAGCGTGTATGCTTCTTGCTCAGAAAAATAGACGTCACTCTTTGAACTACTTTTCCTTTAAATCATCGTCATGAAACTCATTAAAAACATCTCGCGAGCTATCGCGAACAATGTTTCATGTAACATAAATAAATTGTATGCATACGTCAAAATGAGAGCTCTTCAATCTAAATCAATCGTTAAATGCGTGAAAGATGATCCAGAACGTTGCGATAAGTCTGTCTGTCTATGTGTTTTGTATGTTCACTGCGACCTTCAAAAATCGTTTTTCAAGGATGCACACGCGTTGTTCAACAAAAGTTCACCTTATCTGATGAAAAAACACAATAAAATCAAGAGTTGACAATGTATATTTAAATGATTTCAACATTTTCAGCTGCATCGATTTGTATCTGATCATCGTCATCGACGACGATGAGAAAGAAAACAATAATTAGCATATTTCTGTGCTCGACAACGTCGTGAGCAAACACAATGGAACACTATTTTTTTTTGCGAGTTCGGTTCGCCGAACGTGGTATTTGCATCTTTTTTTTCCATTGAATTGGGGGTTTTCTAGCACCTCCTCACAGTCGCCATCAGCAGCGCATCTCTAATAACGAAACGACCAGCGAGCAGATGAAATGAAGAGGCGGTTTCGTTGAGGTCAAGTTCACAACGTTTCGGTGCTTCGTGTGATGATTGGATTTGATGAATTGTTCAAAGACTTGAACTCAAATGCCTAATTGCGGCTGAACGAATGAAGGTTCCCGTGCGATCAACAATATGGCAGCCAAATTTGAAGTTTCTTCATTATCATTACCAATCAAAGTATTAGCTGATGGGATTGAGTCACCGTCTCTGAATATGGAAGGAGTCTTAGTTTTACCTAGTCCGCGTTTTTCAAGTGAATTTCGTATGTGCCGAGATGCACAAGGCCATGTCCTACCTGTCTGTATACATATAGAATAAGAATTTGGTAAGTTAGAGAGAAATTGTTGGAAAGCATTAAAGGATAGAGCGTGCTACAACAACAACTTGATGAGAAGCGCATACAGCAACAATGTGAGTGGGGCATTTTTAGTTGAAATTGACAAACTTACATGGTAGCCATGGCAGGTTGATGTTGTCCATCCGGGCCCAGCTCAGCGCATCGAGCGGACCGGCGCTACTGGGATCGATCGAGTAGATGGTGCTTATAACTAACAATGATGAAGCGAGATAGCCCAACATCGTTGCGGCGTGTCTGGAAGGTTGAGAAACAAGCATGCAGAATGGTGAATACAGAACTCTAACTTAATTAAGCGTCTATAGGCAAACATATTTTACGAGCGAATCAATATAGAAATGGCAGCGTGAGCAAATGGTGGACCTTCGTACGCGCCGGGTATGTATGAAGTCATACCGATCGTTGTCCGGTGGAAATAACTGCCGGTAGTAATCACGGCCCCGGCCCTCCGTTCGTTGGGTGTGTTGTAATATGGAGGAAAAGAAATTTCATAATTGAGCAATGCATGTTCCAACCATGTACTCCGGCAATGATGGTGGTGGAGCTATTTAGCTCTATCCCCATATTGCAATGAAATGCCACGTGAAGATCCGGGCTTGTACCTTAGTAAAGCCGCCACGCAGCCGTCGTGTCGATTATTTTACGCTTCGAACCGCAATGTCAGGTTTAAACGGTTGACTTGCAAACAGGAAAGGAAGAGGTAATTATAAGCTCAAGCGCTATATAGAGACTTGAATGACGACCGACGATGGGGAAAGGTGTGAAGTTGGCTGAATACTTCGTGGTTCGTTTCCTGGGTTCAGTGAAGTTATTAAGCATAGATTTTTATTAAGGATGCGATTACGCAACTGCGATAGGAAAGAAAAATAATGAAGTTTGAGGAGTTACGTCTGACGAACTTGATCGATCAGCTTATGCAAATAGAGTAATAAGAAGAACTTGATGAACAAATCAAAAGTTAAACCAGCGCGAATGGCCAATGGATCTTCTCGATTAAGGAAGAACGTAGCCTATGTATGAAAAAAGTATATCCACCTCTAGTTAAAACTCTTTTTTTTTCAAATCATCCAACAATATTTCTAGCTTTCACCGTTATTCCTCTATTTTCGTGATATTTACCATGATACACATAACATTTCTTCAAACTCGTTCCCCTTAATAACCTTCTTCCAGTCGGCAATTCTAGACTGACAATTGAAATAGGCGGAACAACCAAACGTAAACAATGGCTTTAAACTCAAATTACGCGAGAATCAAAAGGGCAGGCTTCCTTTATCGAATGGCACTCTGCCACTCTGCCCTTCAAACTATGTTAATGTAGTCGATTTCGAAAAGCAAACTCGATTTCGGTTTGTTTCACTTTAGGAACTGATAAACCTCAGTTTGGCTTCAATTTGTTTTGACTTTAGATGATCTTTATTTCTTGAATTTGTGTGGTTAACATGTTTGAATTATCAAGTGACACAGACGTGTCTTTTCAACATAGTTCATTTGAATTTTTTTAAATTATTATTTAGGTTTCTAGTCCTATTGGTTGAAAGATTTCCCACCTTGCAAGGATTGGTTTGTTTGAAATTAGAAAAAGAAAACTACTTATAACTAATATTTACAACTACAACTTCTATATGCACCTAACCTATCATACATAAATTGTTTATCAAAGCATGTTTTGATGTGTTGCATTTCTGCACAAACCTAGTCTTAATGTCATCAATTTTAAAATATAATTATGGAACGTTCACCTCTAGGTGGGGATAGGAAATTCTTGTGTTGAAAGGACAATCAAAGATCATCCTCAGCACTCTATTCTGAGTGACCTGGATTTTGTTCCTGAGTCTGTGCACATGATTCCCACACCGGAGCTGCGTAGAACACCGCAGGTGCTATGATTTGTTTGTAGACAGCCAGTTGGTTCACCCTTGAGAGGCGGGATCTGCAGCAAATCAGCGGATACAGACACCTAACCAAGGCGGAACACTTGACTATGGTTTTCTGGCTTCAATTTGTTAATGACGATAGCCCTATCAATCCGAAAACACGACTTCGATGGACGGCTTTATCAATTCGCAGGTGCGATCGAACCTCACTTTTGTTGCGTTGCGCAATTTTTGCATAACTTTCTTCACGACGAAGGAAGATTTCAGCAATGGAAATTTTCTTGTATGTAACTTTCACCGGTGATGTAATATTGTCAATTATCTGACACTTAACGAAATTTGGGCTTTTTCATGTATCGAATTCCGGAATCTTCCAAACGACGAAACAACAGTAATATCGTTTGGGATAATGCTTTTATGGTTACATTAAAGTAAAATCAACGTTGGGGGATCAAATAATTGAGTTAGAGACTGAAAAAAAGATATCGCCTTGAAACGTGGAACTGGGAAACATGGCAAACGACTTGATATGGTGTGGGGTGATATGTTATATACTAGAGTGGCCACCATTTAGATTTGAATGAAGGGATAATGTTGTATTCCCCAATGCCCAGAATTGAACAATTGGACGTCTTCGGGATGGAATACAATGGGTAGAAATAAAACAGCACATTTCCAACAAAAATCAGTTAAAGGAAGTGTTTATTAGACTGATGCAAAATTTGGATTTTCGCTCCACAGTGTTCAAACGGTTTCAAATCGGGTCCTAATTAGCCTCCGAAAGTTTAAACTCATTTGATAAGAAACTGACTTGGCACAAACCATTTGAAGTTTATTTGGAAAACCAAACTTTTTGTTCATTGTCTTCTAGCCTTTTTTTCATATTGTACTGTTAAAAAGTTCTATTGCTATTCTCATGGGAATTTTTATCAGCTACAACTTTGCTGAAAATCATTTTTTAGCCAAACGTCAAATTAAATAATTACAGTCGAAGCTCTTTATAGCGACATCGCAGGGGACTGTCGTTATAGAGAACTGTCGGTATAAAAGATAGTCGTTATATAGAATTTCAATGTCGTTATAGAGAGAGTAACGTTACTCCATGCTAAACAATCAGAGTATATTTTTAGATGATTCCAATCGATTTTTAACAATACAATACATATCGTTTAAGATTATACCAAATCAAATGTCAATTAATTCTTCCCCTAGAACCTGTTTTTTTAATTCAAAAAAATTGCTGAAACTGTCCTTTGGCAGATCTTCCATAGTTAATAAACCAGCATATATTGTTTGGAAAGCATCTGAAAGTTGATTCTTAGAAGGCGCGCTGGTTAATTCATTGTCAACAGTTTCATCAGTCAATGAGTGGTTTTGATCATCGATACTGCTGCTAGATGACTGATCATGAATAATTCGGGCTATGTCATCGTCAGTCAAAAGTTCTCCTTCACAAAAGCCGTCGTAAAAATTCACGTAGTCTAGAATAAACAAATTTCATAGATAATATTATTGAAACATTACATATATGTTTATACCTCCAAATCAATCAAAACCTTTCTCAGTGAGCATTTCAAATTTTGATTGAAATAAACTTTCTTTAGTAATATCAGTTACAATGTTACTCTCCTTAATACATATTAAATTGTTTGGTTTGAAAAAACCAGCTTTAATGAAGCAATTAACAATTGTGGATTGTTTAACGTTGCTATGCCGTGCATCAGCTCATGATGCACTGTAGTAAGTCAATTTTCAGTGATTCATCATTTTCAATAACATTCAGATGATATTTCAATATCTTGTTGTGGTAGTGCACTTTCAAAGATTTGATTATGCCAAGATCAAGTGGTTGGAGTACAGAGGTCATATTTGGAAGAAAATATGCCAGTTTGATGTTGCTCAACTTTTGCTGAATGTTTGGATGGCTGGGACAGTTATCAATAATCAAAATAATTTGCCTTCCTTCAATCATCATTCTTTCATCAAGTTTATGCATCCATTCTTCAAACATGAAGCTTACCATCCATGCTTTTTTATTGCTTCTATAGATGACTAGCAGGCTCTTTATATGTTTAAAGCATCTAGGTTTAGCACTTTTACCAATGATCAGAAGCTCCAACTTTTCTGATCCGTCCATATTTGTGGCAACAGCAGCCGTAATTCGCTCTTTTGAGTATTTTCCCCCATGACATTTATCACTTTTGAAACAGTATGTTTTATTGGGTAAGCATTTGAAAAATAGACCCGTCTCATCCATATTAAACACATCTTGTGGACTGTAGTCAGCAATCAACAGTGGCAACGTATCGGATATGAATCGTCCAGCGTCAACAACATTTACAGCTCCATTTTCTCCGCTAGTAATTTTGAACGACAATCCATTGCTCTTAACAAATTTTTGAAGCCATCCGTCGCTCGCTTTAAAAGAATCGTGTTTCATTTTCTTTGCCAGTTCATTTGCTTTTTCTTTTATAATCACGCCAGAATTTCGTACGAAATCACTTGCTGGCAAAAAAACCATCAGAGCTTTTTCTAATGGAACACACTGAACCGAGCGAATTTTTTTGTGTTGCAGTGAATACAAACGGGCCTGTAATGAAAAATTTGGTAAGATAGACTTTGTAGCACTTTTAATCAATATTCTTACCTTACCATCTATTTTTTAACAAAAACACGTAAGTTAACCACTACACGAAAATCTCGTTCAGGTGGTCAAAATTCACGTCAAAGAAAACTACGACAAAAAAAACTTCTTTTACTAAACCTTCAAATTTAATGTTGTCTACGGCTATAAACCCACTGTGAGATGCAAATAGTACCTTCATGATACTGAAAAATGTCGCAATAGAGAATGACAAGTATGGGTAAAAATCAACGATGGTGTGTCGTTATGGAGAAAGGTCGTTATAGCGAAATGTCGCAATACAGAAGAGGATTCCTATGATAATTTGAAGGGACCTATGGAAATGTCGTTATAGAGAGATTTGTCGCTATACAGATGGTCGTTATAAGGAGCTTCTACTGTATGAATTGTTAAGAGATTGATAATCTTATGGCAAGATTAAGCAACTGTATTGTGGGCAACACTGTACTCTGCAGTGTGACATAGCAGCCATGATTTTTGTCCTCTATTCTACGCGCCATAAACAACAATGTTGCCTGCTGAACAGTTGATTGAGGATAATCATAAGACATCAGTGACTAAAATCATTAATACTTTTTGTTCCTTACATTTGATCGAAAAGTGGCCTTGAACAAAGTTGTAGCTGAGAAAAGTTTCAACAAGCTCAGCTATCATTTTCTAAAGTAGAGTGAACTGGTGAATTTTGAGATAGATATGAACCGAAATTATGTTTTCCC